TGGGGAACCGCGGGCGCCCACTGGCCACCGCGCGCCGCTCCCCCCCGCCCTCCCGCCCTCAGCTGCGCCTCTCACTGACTCTCTCCTTCCCTAGCTGCAGCTAACTCGGGTCGGGAAAATGCGACAGCGACTGCCCACTCGAGGTCGTCATGGCGACAGCCAGTGAACGTGTTCCTCTCCTCGGGCAGGCCCCCGAGTGTAGAGGAACTGCTTCGAGAGGCGCAGCTCAATCTCCAGAGCCTGTTGCAAGGTACTGAGAGGGAGGGGGGCTGCGGCCGGAGCCCACAGGCGAGATGCGCAGCGCTGGAGGGAGGCGAAGAAGAAAGAGGACAGGGACCAGCTAGAGAAAAAGACAGAACAGTTTAAAACCCACTGAAAAACAAAACATAAATTTCCCATCTCTTTACCTTCCAGACTAATGATTTCTACGGCTGTTTACTCGCACCCACCCCCCGCCCCTTTATTTTGCAGTTCAAGAGTACATGGGGGGGCAGGGGGCGGGGAGACAGAGGCAGAAGCAGGGCAATGGTCAAGCCATTTACCAAGAGAGCTGGGTGAGAGACTCCCCCTGCGTGGCCTTACAAATCTTCTAGACCCTCTCTTGCCACATCACCCATGTCTTTGGAATCCTCGCACCCAAAGACAATGGAGGCATCTGCAGGGTCTCCTTCTCAGGACTTCGCTCACTCTGCTCTTGTCTTAACCTTGTCCGTGTGGCTCCTGGGTAGCTAGCTACTGCCTCATCGAAGGAAGCCCAGTACACAGCACCCAGATCTCTCCTCGTCCCCAAATCCCAGCCTGGCATCTTTGGAGTATACAGATGAGTACCCTGTACACCAAGCTGGGTCCACATGACCCAGAAAAACAGCCCAGTTGTAGTACCAGAGCAGTCAGATTGCATGCACCAAGTAGAGTGAGAAAACACAGACTTTGAAATCAGACAGACCTAGAATCACATTTGAATCCCATGCCTAACCAGCTGTGAGACACTATGCAGATTACCCAGCCTCCCTGAGTTTCAGATCAATCCGTCGTCTTTCAAATGACAAAGTTTTGTGAGAAGTAAAAATGGTATGTAACCTGCTTGGCAAGAGTATCTTGCAGCTGAAGAGACCCTGATAAGATGCATCGTCAACTCCCAGTACGTGTCCTGTGGAACGCAGGGCATGGCTGGGAACGATACTAAAGTTACCATAAAAGAAAAGACTGTACAGTCCGTGATAAGACTTTGCAATATGAAAACCATACTCGTTTATCAGAGGGATTTAGCTAATGTGAGTGGCAAAAGGATTAAACCTCAGTGCTATGCGAGAGGCTACTGGGGCATTACAGTCTCTGGATGGAGGTTACAAGGGACATGCGTATGTCAAAATTCACTGAGCTGCGCACTTAAGATTTGCGTTCCTTACTGTAGGTAAGTTCTATCTCCATGAAATAATACAAATAAAACCTCAGTTGTAGTCGCAAGCTCCATGCCTATGCCAGGAACTCACTGTCCCACTTGGGCTTTTTTCCAAACCTAGAAGCCCTTCCTCGCTCTCCCAACCCCCAATCCTCACACTTTATTCAAAGCTCTCTTCTTGCCTCACCCAAAAACCCCTTTAACGCTCTGCACTTTGCATCCGTCCCTGCATGAGCACTCGTGCCAGCTGCCTTACGCCATCCAGCTCAAGAGGTCTTGTATAGTTCTGAGCTGCTTTTTCTCTCATTTGTCCCTTCATTTACTCATTCATCTACTAGTCCTGGGTGTAGAGTTTGTCCACATAACCAGACTGACTGTCTCAACATAAAGAATGTTATCTCTTCATACCCTTGCCTTTCTAGAAGCACCTGGCACAGAGCTGGATCTCCAGGAGGGGCTCAGTAGACATTTGTTGAGTGAATGTTACATGTGTAAAGAAGCCTTATCGGCTCTCATTTATCCACACCAACAAAGGTTAACTTGTAAGGGGACTAGAAAACAGCAGCTGGGCCACCCAACTGGACTACAGCCCAAACCCCCACCTCCCTGCCAGGGCAGCAGTGACCTTAGAGAAGCAAGGTTCTGAGGGACACCATGAGCCTTGTGTTCAGATAAGAGAGGAGCTATCATGCAGAAAAAGAGTCATGTGCTTTATGTTGCCACCATGGGCAGATTTAGGATGGGTGGGTAGAAATATAGAGGGAGGTATATTTCACCTCAAGATAAGGAAGAGCCTTCCTGACACACCTGACAGCCCCAACTGTTCTTGGATGGAATGAGCTGCCTTGGGAGGAAGGCTGCCCTCCCTTCTCTGCAGGAGCATGTGGAGGCTGAAGAAGCAACTGGAAGGGCTGCTTAGGAAGAACTCTGAGCCCACAGTGGGGTGTTGGACCAGAGAACTTTTGAGGCCCCTCCTGAGTCCAAGTTTCTGGGAGTCTTAAAGTCTGTTCAAATGTGCATAGAGCCCCACCTGTTGGTTCTTTGCTCTCACGTTCCTCCTTTACTCATCGAATTCATCACTTAAATGAAGCCCATCCAAATCCTGTGCATCCTTCTTACTCGCTGACAATGCCCCTTGACTTCTCCCGCCTTCTATGTCACTACCTCTGCTTTCCCTCTGCTTCAACTAAGCCCCTCTTGACCTGACACCACCCACAGTGGGACCAAGGTGCAGGGAACCAGTCCCTTGGAGGCTCAAATAAGAGTTCTTGACATCCAAGGGAGCACTCCACATTGGACTTTCCAATGCAGATGTCTTCGTGATTCATGCAGGTCCTTTCCCTGGTAGGGCTGCAGAAAACCTGAAGAGGTGCAGGGTTTCAGAGAGGGGACCCTGCAGCCTAAAATGGCAAAAGGTGTCTGCTTTCCGGACCTCTCCTCTAGGTTGAGCACCTAAGGTGGGGGCCATCAAGACACAGGCTTGGTCTCAGAACTGGCACAACTCCATTTCATTGACTCTCTTTTCTCCTTGGCGCTCACAGTCCTGGGAAGTAGGACTTTTTCCATTTCTGAATCCAGAGGCTCAGAAGCCAGAAAATATCCTAGAGAAACAATGCAAGTCAGGCCTGGCAGCTAGAGCAGGAGCCCCAGCTCTCATGGTCCCTTCCCAGCCCAGTGCTTGGCCATGGCCCCCTAGAGTGTGTATCCACTGTGCTATTTTTCAGAAGAATATGAGGAACAGTACTCGGAGGCCAGACTCCTGGGGCAGACCTTCCGCTCTGCTGATGAGGCCCCTGAGCCCACCCTTAGCCCAAGGCCCCAGGCTGGCAGGCGTCTGGAGTTTGTATTGATGGTGAGTTGCCTCTTCCCCCACCTGTGAGAGCCAGCATACAGAGCTCTCTCTGCACTCATTGACAGGGGTCCTCAAGCAGTTTATGTTACCCATCAGGAGCTGCCACTCACCTCTGCCCACCAGCAGAGCTATCCGGAGGCCCTGCTGAGATGGGCTGTACACAGCAGGTGTCTGGCCTGGTAGCCTGTCCACACTTTCCTGCCTCCTAGATGAAGCCTCCGACCACCCTACCTAGACAGCCATCCCATGGCATGGCTCATCTCGTCGGGAGCACACCCTTCCCATCACCTTCTTTCCCAACAGCCTACAAAACGGCAGCTGAGCGAGGATGAGACTACCACCCAGGGTGTGAGGGCCCCTGAGGCCTCCCTGAGCCTGTCTACCACAACCGACAAGCAAGCTGCCTGGAATAGCCCCTTCCCTCTGCCCATCCTAGAGGAGAAACGGTGGCCTCAACCTTGCTCCACGCACTCTGACATTGTGCCCATCAATATCTCTGGTAGAGTTGCTTAGTATTGCTTCCATTTGCTTCCCTCCATGCCAACTACAGACCATCCTCTCCAAATGCACTGGGTGCCAGGGGAGGGAGCGAGACTTTCTTTGCTACTGGCTCACCCTGCACTGTCAAGGTCATGGCTCTCGCCGAGGAACGGAGGCATGCAGAAGAGGGGGCTCTGGCTGCTCTTTCTTCACTCTCTACTGGCACTGCCATACTAACTGACCCCATCTGGTAGCAAACAAATCTGTCTTAACAGAAAACCCTAAAACATTGTGAACTTGTGTGCTCTTTGGTTACATCTATGGAAATTTCAAGTTTGTGAGTTCAGTTTGGTTTGGGGAAAGAAAACTTCTTGTGCCAGAAGCCAGATTTGTAGTGCACAGATAGGAGCCAGAGTGGAAGTGCAAGGTCAGTAGTGCTGGTGGTAAAAGGGAGGATCATACCTGGAACACAGAGCAAGGGCCTTGTGATACTTTCAGTAGACATCCAGTCTTCTAGTGAGGTGGGCCTCTTCAACCCACGTGGCAAGTGTTTGAAAACGGAAGTAATAGAAAGAGACCAAGGCAAATGAGGCTCAGCTGGCTGTGACTTTGGGGACATGTGGCACCCTATACCATGCCAATCATTAATTCATGTTCCACACTCCACCAGCTGTAAGTGGAAGAGGAGGAGGGTCAGTCATTTCAGAAGAAGGTAGGGCCAGTGACTGGATGAAATGAAGACCTCCTGACTTAAAGGGACCAGAGGCACCCTGTGAGCCAGCACTAGCCAGTGGTATGCTGGGAAAATCTGATAAAGACAATGAGGACAGGTCTGGCCACATGTGGCAACGTTCCCTAGATATGGGGCCATTCAGAGCCCCTGGCATCCTCTCAGGAAATTAGAGGCAGGAAATAGAGGTTAGAGCCTAGGGAAACGTACCAAGAGGAGTGCGGGCTGAGAAGAGAAACTCACAGAGTAAAGGTGGGCACTTTGTTTTTAAACTTCCACCTTACTCTCAATGAGACCAGCCCTGATTTTGCCTGCAGAGCAATTTGGTGGGGGCATTGGGGAGTGGGGACACATGTAGCCATGGGGCTGAGAGGGGAGGGTTTGGTTAGCCAGCTGCTGAAGGAGAGGCAGTGGGGGGAGCAGCGGGTGTCACCCCACCCCTGCCCTAGCAATTCCCCTGGAGCAAAGACTGTCCCAGTGTTTTAAGAGAAATAGATATCAATCGCTACCCAGAGATGAATGTTGATAAAATGTGATCAGATGACTGGAGGACAGGCTATCAGGCTGCTTCCTGGATGCTGGGGGGCAGCAGGGTAGCCTCTTGGAGGCACTGTCCTTACTGGCCCATACAAAGACTTTCTTTGAGAAAAGATTACAATCAAGCAACATCTAGTCTCAACCTGTCTCTCTACACCAGTGATTCTCACCCCAGGCTGTACCTCTAATAATCAATCACCTGGGGGGTTCAAGAAAATGCTTCTACTTGGGCCCTACAGCCAGAGATTTAAGGGTTCTTGATGGGGTTCAGGTATTAGAGTTTCAAAAGCTGCTCAGTTGATTTTCACACATAGTCACAGCTGAAAACCATGGCCCTCAGCCACCTAAGACTCACCAGTGACCCTGAGTATGACCCTACGAAAGCCAACATGTACGCCTTGGGGCTGTGGGTATCCAGAGCCAGATTGGGAGGGAGGAGGATGAAGGGCCACCTGCCTGGACTCTATTCATGCTCATTGCTCCTGCCATCATCCCTTCTCTCCACCTCAGACCACTGTACTGTAAACAGAAACCAGGATGCACCCAAGTGTCTTTATTTTGCCTACAGGGCAGCAGTTTGATAAACATGCAAGTTTGCGACACTCGTTGTTTAACACAGAGACAGCCGTGAACCCCAAATCCACCCTGAGGCGGAGGCGGACCATTATTGGATTCTCTAACTTTTCCCAGCGAGACCAAGGTGACCCCACCACAGCTGATGCCCCAGAACCTTCCCCTTGTTCATTGCCACCAGTCCTGCCACCCAGGGATAATTCAGAGTGTGGGGTGGTGGGGGTGGGGAGGGAGGACGGTTGGATGACTTAAAAGAAGCCAATGTGGTAATTAAGGACAACCAAGGGCCTTTTGTCAAGGTCATCAACTGAATATGGAGCGCAGGTCTCCCAGGCTAATAAGTTCACTATGTTATTGTTTTCCATTCTAAATGGAATATAGCCAAATGTGTCAGATTTAGGCAAATAGATAAAAGAGGGAATCATCACTAAAAGCACCATCCTAACAGAGCCACTACTGCTGCTAAACGGAAGCCATCCAAAAAGCACAGACCAGAGAGATGGATGTGAGTCCTGGCCTCTCCACTTATTAACCATGAGGCCTTGCCCAACTTACATAACCTCTCTGAGCCTCAGCACCTTTATCTGGAAGTTGGGGCTAATAATACCAACCTGTGAGAATTGTCATGCATATTAGAGTTATTACATATATTCACCTACCATGTGCCTGGTACATAGTAGGTGTTGAACAAATGGTGGCTGCTGTTATAAATTATTATACTACTAGTAGTAGTAATAATTGTTCTATATGAGAAAAATCTTTGGGGATTTTGGACATGTGAATAGTTTCCTCACATGCGTAGGTCATCTGAAGTCTCTCATGTTGCAAAGCTAAAAAGTGACAGGTGCCAAAAATGTAACCAGACTCTGAACTTTCCAGCTGTGGCATACTCCAGATTCATTGCTGGGGCTGAAAGTCACACAGTGCTGTCCTTTATCAGTTCAAAAGCCTGTGCTCTAATCTCAGGAGAGTTGAGCACTGAGGTCTGTGATGGTTCATGAGCCTGGGGTGAAAGCTCGGCAAAAACCCAAGGTAGTCCCACCTGCCACTTCAGCTCTAAAAGGAATAATCAAAGCTGGCAAGTCTTTGGCAGCCTCCTGGACAATTCAAGGGCAGGCACCCTGTGACTCACCGTGTGGTGATGGGCAAGGACCCAACTTCCCCAGCATCCTCATTTATGGAAAGGAAGAACCAAGGCATCCTGACCAAGCTGTTGGCAAATGCTTCTTGGCAAAAAACTTGGTGCTCCTGTCTCAAGACAGCTGCTGGGGGATCCCTGGCTGCATCGCTAACTTTCTGTGTTTACCTTCTCCAGGTCACAGCAATAGCCCAGCAGGCAGTGTGGCCTGCTCCACCACCTCAGACATCAGGCTCAGTCATTCGGTCCCAGAAGGTGTCCATGGAAGAGTTGCAGTTGGTCAGGAAGTTCATTTCCCAAATCTCCCCTCACCGGTACTGAGGAGTCCTTTGAGTGATCCAGAAGAAACTCTCCAGGTGCGTGGTGGCGCACACCCTCCTAGCATGGAGAGCATAGGAATGGTGTATAGCATCCCCAGTTCTTGCAATGGACCAACCGAATCGACATTCTCTGCTTCCTGGAAGGGAGATACTTTTACCTACATGACTCCAAGTGCCACCAGTCAGAGTACTCAAGTCAGTGAAAATGGAAAAAATCCTTCCTCTGGGAATGTTTGGGTGTCTCTGCACACACTGCCACCTCTAGTTCCTAAGGAAGCTGCTACCCTCTTTGTTACTTGTGATAACCCAGCAGGATGCAGTGGGTCAGTTGGCTACTCTGAGCACCCTGCTCAACGAAGGCAGGCAGTGGAACGACCCTCCAAGATTGGCCTTCTCACTAGTGTTACCTCAAGGATGGAGACAGGCCCAGGTGGGGCCAGCAGGTTCCGGGAGCGGTCACTGTCTGTGCCCACAGACTCAGGCACCGCAGAGGTGGACTATGATGAGGAACAGAAGGCTGGTGAAGCCTGTGCCCTGCCTCATGCCAGTACAAGTTCTGAGGGCAGTAACAGTGCTGACAACATTGCCTCCCTTCGTGCCCAACAGGAGACCCAGCACAGAAGACAGAGATCCAAGAGTATCTCGCTCAGGAAGGCCAAAAAGAAGCCTTCCCCACCAATGCGCAGTGTCTCACTGGTCAAAGATGAGCCAGTCCTTTTGCCAGAAGGTGGGTCAGCCCTACCCAAGGACCAGAGGCCCAGGAGCCTTTGCCTCTCCTTGGAACACCAAGGACATCACTCATCCCAGCAGGATGCTCAGGGTCACCCAGCTGTGCCGACCTTCAAAGATCCGGAAGGCACACAATTCTCCCACCACTGGTATCTTACTGACTGGAAGTCTGGTGACACCTACCAATCCTTGTCCAGCTCCAGCACTGCCACGGGCACCACAGTCATTGAGTGCACCCAAGTTCAGGGCAGCTCAGAGTCTCTTGCCTCCCCCTCCACGTCCAGAGCCACGACACCTTCCCAGCTCTCCATTGAGGTGGAGGCCAGGGAAGTATCCTCCCCAGGAAGGCCTGCTGGGCTGATGTCACCCTCCAGTGGATACTCCAGCCAGTCAGAGACACCAACACCCACCGTCTCCATGTCCTTGACGCTGGGCCACTTGCCCCCTCCAAGTGGCAGTGTCCGGGTGCGTCCAGTGGTACCTGAGAGGAAGTCATCACTACCCCCGACATCACCAATGGAGAAAATGTCCAAGTCACGGCTGTCGTTTGACCTACCACTGACCTCGTCAAGCAACCTGGATCTGTCTGGGATGAGTATCTCCATCCGAAGCAAAACCAAGGTGAGCCGGCATCACTCAGATACAAATTTTGGGGCCAAGCTGGCCCAGAAAACGAGCCCCAACCAGCCAGTTATGCCCATGGTTACTCAGTCTGACCTACGTTCCATTCGCCTGAGGTCAGTCAGCAAGTCTGAGCCAGAAGATGACATCGAGAGCCCTGACTATACTGAGGAAGCAGGAGCAGAAGTCTTCACCTTGCCAGAGAGAAAGATAAAACCTCCCATAGCTGAGAAGCCCCCCGTGGCCCGAAGGCCTCCAAGTTTGGTCCACAAGCCACCATCTGTCCCCGAGGAGTACCCGCTAACTTCGCTTACCTTGGCTATGACCCCCAAGAGCTCCATTCAACACACGAGGCCACTCCCTCCAGACGTCTACACAGTGGTGCGGAAACCAAAGTCCTCCAGCCCTGAGGGCAGAAGCCCAGGGGAGTCAACAGCAGCCTCAACTCTTGTTTTCACACCTTTTGCTAGTTCCTCTGGTGCTTTCTTCTCAGGAACACAGCAACCTCCCGAGGGAAGTATGGAGGATGGAGGCCCCAAAGTGAGAGCCCTGCCTGAAAGAATTAGCCTCCAGAGCCAGGAAGAAGCAGAGAAAAAGAAAGGCAAGATACCACCCCCTGTCCCAAAAAAGCCCAGTGTGCTGTACCTGCCGCTCACACCACCCACAGCTCAAATGGAGGTGTATGGAACCGAACCAAGGCTGTCTCTCAGCCCCATCATCACCCTTCAGGAAGAAGCCAGCTGTCCCCCCACCAGTGACCAACTGCAGTCACCTGGTACAAGGATGACTTCAACACCGGAGGCTGAAGGTGAAAGGGAGGCAAGTCCTCTAGGTTAGTAAACTCTCTGCTGCCTTTTCTTTTGAATCCCAGGGAAGATGAGGGTAAGGATGGAGTGCCAGAGACAGAAGCAAATGCCCCCAAATAATGATCCTGAGTCCAGGATAACCAGGTCAGTAGGAGGCATCTCTTGAGGGTTTGGGTTATTCTAAACAGGCCTCACTGCCCTTGGGATTAGGAATGACCCAGGGGTGGATCTACAAGATCCAGCTTGGGCCAATCTCACCTGGAACCCCTGATACTGACATACTAAAATCAAACTAGTTCTTAGCACCCTAGGACCTTAGTAGCCCATCTACCTACTCAGGCACACATCCCCTGCCCTAGGAACTATCTCTCTACCTCCCGGTATAGCACTTTTCGCTAGCCACATGGATTTTAGTTTCATGCATGGGACTCAGTACCCTCCCAGGCTGAGTTCAAATGCTATGGAAGGCTTGCAAGCTTCTGAAACAATGGAATATGTTTCTAGCAGCAGCCTTTCTTAGTGCTTTCTGGAAGAAAGGGAACTCACTTTCTTGGATGCTTTGAGGCTAGCTCTTCCTGGAACAATAAGACTAAACTAGATAATGTTCCTCATAATTTTTCGGGTCTTTTTTGCATGTGTCTTTTTTTGTTTTAATTGTGGCAAAAATACACATAACATAAAATTTATCATCCTAATCATTTTTAATGTACAGTTCAGCAGTGCTCAATACATTCACAAGGCAGTACAACTATGACCTCCCACCATCCACCTCCAGAGCTCTCTTCATCTTGCAAAACTCAAGTCTGTATCCATTGAACAAGAACTCACCATTGTCCCCTCACCCCCATATGCTGGCAACCACTCTTCCATTTTCTGTCTCTATGAATTTGACTCTTCCAGGGACCTCATGTAAGTGGAATCATACAGCATTGGTCTTTTGGTGACTATCTTATTTCACTTAACCTATTGTCCTCCAGATCCATCCATGTTTTTCATCCTTTTTTTTTGTACCTTTAACACCAAACATCAAAATCTTACAACCTTCCTTAGGCCAAATTTGGACTTCCAACATAAGTTAAATCATAGTGGCTAAAACAAGCAAACAAATCACAGCCACAGGTAATTTTTAGAAGATGCATCATCAAACTCCACAGGCTCCCTCTGAGATTCAGATAGGTCCCACTCCCACCTACTGGTTGAGTCATTGCTTTAGATGAGTCTCTGCTTTTTGATTTTTAAAAATACTGCATTCAAAACAAGAGAATGCTCAGGCAACCTGTTGTGTAATGGAAAAGGTGTGAGAACACAGGGACCCATGCTGATCTTCACCACTCACTCCACCTTGGCCAAAACACTAACCTTCTGAACATTGTGTTCCTCTGCAAAACAGAGACATTAAGAGTCTCTGCCCTGCAGCCCTCCCAGAGTTGCTTTGAACATCAAATGAAATACCACAGGAGAATGTGCTTTGTCCTAACTATTGTGGTCGAAGTATTTAATTCCTTCTGGTTCTTATGCCTAGGGAGTTCTACAGAAGCAAGCACTGAAGAAAAAAGTGTAATCAGTGATAAAACAGCCGAATGGATTGCTGAAGAGGACGATGACGTGTTTGTGGCTTCACGCACAACTGAAGATTTGTTTACTGTGATACACAGGTGTAGACCAATTTTCTTAATTCCTATTGTAATTGTCTACCCTTCTTATACCAAAAGAAAATCTGCTACCTCTAAGCAGCCATTAGAATTGCAACTGGAGCCTAAGTTCAGATACCCACATATGTGAACGCAGCCCTCAGCCTTGCATATGCAATTCACTGACATCTTTGGGTGAAGTGGAGGAGGGGCAGGGAAGGGAAGACCAGGTGCCGAGTGAGAGGCCCCTCGTCTCCTAGCAACCGCAGGCCTATTGTGGCTCCATCTGCTCTCTCACAGCTCTGTCTACAGACGGAGACATTTAACCCTTCACAGAATTCCTTGTACCAAAAACATCTTATGAAGAAGTGAAATGGGGCAACAAGCCAAGCATCAAAGCAGGAACTTAGGCAAAGTGGGACCGGACCGGGCACCAGTTATTGGACAGGGTTTCAAAGCAAGGACTTGGTGATGAGAAAAAAATAGAAAGAGCCCAGTCATTAGAGCTGGAGCACCAGTTCAGAACAGGATCAGCTCTCAGACTGTCTTGATTCAGAGTCACTGAGCTACTGGCCTAGACTCCTTAAATGCTTCCTTGGTCCCAGAACCTAGGCAGAACTGAGCCTGCAGGCACAGGCCAAGCGACTCCAGCTGGAGGCATTGAAAGGGGTATAGAGAGAGGAAGCCAGACAAGGGACTCTGAGGACTTAGCAGAGAGAGAGAGAAAGCTGGTAAGTACAACTGCTTGCAAGGCTGCTGCATGGTAGCCCCCACATCATGCCACTGGCATTCATGAAATTATACGAAGCATTTAAGAAATATCTGCCACGTGAATTCACTTAAAGCAAACTTTTTCTTATTTAGGTCCAAAAGAAAGCTGCTTGGCTGGAAAGAGCCTGGTGAGGCCTTTGCTGGCGGCAGCAGACCAAGCTCCCATTCACCAATAAAGAACACAGCTGATTCTCCAATCAGTGAGTCAGCTGCTTCTGCGGGGTCAAGTGGCAGTGCCAACCTAGATGCTGGCAGAAACGATGATTTCAAGGCCTTGCTACAGAAGAAGGGAAGCAAGACAACTCCAAGGTCCCGCCCCTCAGCAGCCGAACTGCTGAAGACCACTAACCCACTGGCTCGGAGAATTATTGCACAATTTTCAAAAGACTGTGAAACTACCGATGACCCCAGTACCTAAGTCCCGAGTTCAGTTAACAGGGTTTAGTTATTAAACTTGAGTAGACAAAGGGGAAGAGAAAGGGTTTTAAAAAGTAATCATGGACATAACAGAAGAGCCTACATTTCTTTTACATTAACTCACACTCTGGACAGCAGGAGACAGGTCACTTTATCTAGAACTAAATCATCAGGCACTTTAATCATCTTCAGACCTTTTACATTTTCATACTTACAATCTTGCCATTACCCAATTACCGATTTTCTCCTTATCTTCCCCCAGTGTTGTGCCCTGAGAAGAAATTCTCAGATGCAAGGGCACATGTACCATCTTTTCAATCAATGGCCAGGCTGCTCCATCCCTGACTCCTGTCACTGAGGGGCACAGTGTGAGAGTGGATTGGGGACTGCCAAAACTGGGGATCATAGGGTGCCATTGCTGATTATTCACTTTCCTGGCAAGGCCTTGATGGCCCTGTGTGGAGAAACAAAAAGACTCTGGTGCCTCTCCATCCACACTTAAATTCCCCCCACCACTTATTTCAGCATGGGGTTGATTGAATGGCTTTTGTCATTCAAAATATGAATGTGCGTGTGTCTTGAAATTCATGCCTTTTTCAGTTTGATTGTCTATGCGGAGATCAGGGTGATGACATTCAATAATCATGTAGACGACCC